CAAACAAAAAAAAAAACACAACAACACCAACAACAACACCAGCAACAGCAACAGCAACAACAGCAACAGCGGCAATGATGCTGCTCCCGCCCCCGCCCCCGCCGCTGCCGCTGCCCGACCCGCGTTTGTATCACCACGCACCTTGTTGCAGCAGTCGCGCCAGACGCTGCCGCCGAAACCGCTGAGTGCGCTGGATCGTGAGCAGTTGGATGGCCGGAGGACCATCCGCGCCTTTCTCAAGGCGAGGACCAGTTACGATGTGCTGCCTATTAGCTATCGTCTGATTGTCTTTGATACTGCCCTGCTGGTGAAGAAGAGTCTGAACATCCTCAACCAGAATGGTACGTCTGCCAGGAAGCGTCCAATTGGCGGCTGCTTCTTCTGTATACTGATGATCGGTCTTGTACAGGCATTGTTTCTGCGCCGCTGTGGGACTCGAAATCTTCCACCTTTGCTGGCCTGCTCACCACTTCCGACTACATCAATGTCATTCAATACTACTGGCAGAACCCTGATGCCCTGGCCCGCGTTGACCAATTCCGCCTAAACAGCCTGAGAGGTGTGTAGCAGTCCCCTCTACCTGGCAATACACGTGCACATACACGACGACTCACGCCCACAGATATTGAAAAGGCGCTCGGCGTCAAGCCCATAGAAACAATCTCCATCCACCCCGACAAGCCCGTCTACGAAGCATGTCGCCGCATGCTCGAGTCGCGCGCCAGGCGCATACCCATTGTCGACAGCGATGACGAAACACATCGTACCATGGTCGTCAGCGTCATCACGCAATATCGCATTCTCAAGTTCATCGCGGTCAATGTCAAGGAGACGCAGAAGCTTAGGAAACCTTTGCGGGAGCTCAATGTAGGCACGTATACGGACCTGGCGACGGCGTCCATGGATACACCGGTCATGGACGTCATTCATATGCTAGTCAAGAAGAGTATTTCCAGCGTGCCTATTCTGGATAAAACGGGTATGTCTACCACTTCGAGGGTGAGCAAAGACTGTAAACTAAACCTAAAAGGTACTGTGCTCAACGTCTTCGAAGCCGTCGACGTCATTGCGCTCATCAAAGGTGGTGTTTACGACGACTTGAACCTCACAGTCGGAGATGCATTGCTCAAGCGATCAGATGTAAGCCGCGCCGAACCCCTACGCGTCCCCATTGACCTATCTTCTAACAAGACCCTAGGACTTCCCAGGCATCTTCACCTGCACATTAAGTGACAACATGTCCACCATCTACGACACCATTCGCCGCTCCCGCGTCCACCGCTTCGTCGTCATCGATGAGCAAAATAAACTGGTAGGTGTTGTCACGCTCAGCGATGTGCTCGAGCATACTTTGCTGGAGGGCATGGAGGACGAATAAGTTAGGACCAAAGTCATGTGCAATTATCCCCCCAAACCCCCCAAAAAAATTACCAAAAAAGGCAGCCCGTGCCACTTGTAACAGCACACGAGATGTATTCCTTGCCAAAAGATAAAAATGTAGTGTATGTATGTATCAGCACATGAGACGTGACGAGGCGAGGCCCAATGTTCTGGTGACTCGTCATTCGCATGATTCGACTGTAGCTCTAGAAGGGTCTGTAGGTCTGTAGGGGCGTTTGACAAGAGTCGGGGAATGAAAAAAAGGAGGGATGGCTTTGGCGGCTTCAAATGTGTAACGTTATGGGACTGAACTGAATCAATGTTTTTTCTCGTTCTATATATATATATGTGTGTGTGTGAGGAAAAGAGAGAGAGAGTATTGGTGTGTGTGTGTGTGTGCGATAGATTGAGAGAAGTCGTTCGGGTTTCGTGATTGTGTTTTGTATACGTGAATACTGCCTGTTGTGAAAGCAATGCCTCCCACCCCCATCACTTTTTTTCTTGTAGACTTTAGCTAGGTCGCTGCTTCCAAGTGGTACTCTAATCTGTCTTTTAGTTTGGTCTAATTTCGTTGTTCTAGTCTGGCCGGATGCACAAGAGTTCTTGTTTCTTTTTGCCTGGTGTGGAAGAGGATCGGGTACCGGTAGTGTGTGGGTTAGACGTTTTGTGCGCGCTATAGAAAGGGCTTTTATTTCTGGCTCACTTCTTAGGCGAGTATATTGGCTTCATTGCAGTTACTAGCACTTCAAGACAAACTGTATTTCTAGGCGTATAGTCATATGAGAATCCAGCCATCCGGCCATATCATCACCCAACCCCCTCCCTATCTCAAACCTCTCAACCACGAACGAATCAAACCACCACGCCGTATACTCACCGTATCAGCCGACGCCCTAGAAACCGTAATCCAAGCATCCGACGCATCTTCCTCCAGGGCCTGGGAACTCTGTCCATCCTGTTTCCTCCCCACACTGCGCACCCTAGGCACGGCAAGCGACGCCGGAGATCCCGACGGCGATGCGGAAATTATATGCTGTTGCATCCAGGAAAAGTCGCCGTCGTATGTGGGCACGATTGTGTGTTCTGGTGCTGAACTGGATTCGAGCACGGGGTAGGCTTGCTCCGAGGGGGCGGATGAGGGAGGGGATGATGCGGATGAAGGGGCCGTGTGGGTGGCGTAGAGGAGCGCCGTATGTAGGTTTCGTGTGAAACTGGATCTACGGCTGGAGCTGGGGGTCTGGTCATCGGGGTCGGAAGCGGAGATGTAAGACTGTGCTGCTTGGGCTTGGGCTGGTGGTGTGGGTAGGGGACGGGGCGTGTGGAATGTAGATTGGGGTAGAAGCTGATTGGTGGTGAATGGACTTTCATCACTAGAGATAGCGGCCAATGCTCTGTTACTGACGCAGTTTTGATACACACCGAAAGGGCGAAGATGTGTTGAGTTGTCATCTGGGTACTTGATGGTAGACGCGCGCTTGGGTGCCTTGCTGCGTCTGCTGAAGTTGAGGAAGCGTTTGAATGTGGTCTTTAGTCTGCAGAAGGCTCCGTGGTTTTTGTACCGGTTCATTAGGCTGGTTATACTCTGTGCATAGGAATAGCCCTCTGCGAAGTCGGAGTTTTCTTCGCTTAGACTTTGGTCAGTTTGGCCATCCGCACTGTGGTCTGTGATGAGGGAGTGGACTGAGGATCCGAGTGTGGACGCCGATGCTACTGCGAATGTCTGCTGTTGTGAATGTAAGGATGTCTGGAGAATCCATCCTGTCATCGACTCGCTCCTCCGCCTGCCGTTGTTAGAATAGTACTGATGATCATGCACTGCACCGACGCTTGCTGCCAGGTCATGAGTGGTAGCCAAGGGGTCTTGAGGCGACTCGCTTGCTAAACCAGTAAGTTCTGGATATAGTTGTGCGATTTGAGTAACCTCATAGACAAGACTCTTGCGAGGCTTGGAAGGAGACGGCTCGGGAGTGCGTTGCATTGTTTTTTGGTGGTTGATAAATGTGCGGTGGGATGTGGAGATTGATTAGAGAAACTCGTGCAGTCAGCCGGTCTTTTGTCTTTTCATACCAGAAGGTTGGTTTTTCGGGTTGTGAAAGAACAGCATTGTCCCGGGTAAGCCTATGGCCATGCTCTTTCTCTTTCACAGGCGTGCTTTGAGCATCTGCTTCGACTTTCGCGCAGTGCTTTCCTCCGGAACTGCCTCGCATTTTCCTGGGCCTTGACCTTGGATTCTAAACAGCCTCTTGGGAAATGTCTAGATCTTTCCTTCTCTCGTGACATTGTTGGGTTGGTTCTGATGAGGGGGCGCAATGGTACAAAAATGGTGAAGACGATACAAATCTATCAGGAATGAATGATGCTTCGCCGCAATAACACTAGCAACGGTGATTCATAATTCCATTGATGAGAAGACAGTAAGCATGACTATGGAATATACGATTAGATGGATTGACAGAAAATACACGGTCTGCACCCTGGGCCAGATTCATGGCCATCTCCTTTGCCATTTTGTACCCTAGGGACATAACGCACGCTTATTAGATCGTAGAAAAGGCAGTTTTGAACCACAGTAACTATTCGGTTCGCTTGACGGTATATTCTCTTTGCAGCCCAAATCTCTTTCAAAGTTGAGGTCCCATTTTATAGCAGTAGAAATGAGCTCGTGAGAGACAAAAGAGACTGGATGTGCACAAAGCAGAGAGTTGATGAGAGATGTTCTATACAAAGCCCTCGAAGTATTGCACCATCATGGTATGGTAGTAGCAAGGCCACCATGCTTGTGATCGTCATGCCTGGGATGACTGACGTTTGGTGGGCGACTAGTCTGTTTGGGCCATGACGTCATAGGATCAACAGAGTGATTGTGGTTCCCGGATTCCAGGGTCCAAACGGTGTCCTGCACCTTCACGGCGTACATTTGCCTAGATTTGGTAAGTTTCTGTATAAGCAGGCTTTTTAGATCGTGCAAGCCCAGTTGGCGTGCCGAAGCACGGGCTGGCTACGCCTGCATTAGATGAAGATTGTGCTATCGTGGTCCACGGATACATTGTGGCTGGCCAGTGGAACAAGATCAAGCGCAATAAATGACCCTACGTCATCATTTGCCTCTGTCTCCATAACCCTCTCGACGCGCTCTCCTTACCCCCCACTCATCTACACACTTCACCTTCATATCTGAACTTTAATTGTTTCCCCCAGCCTGTGACGAGTAACTACACAATCATGGAGACAATCACCAACATCGCGACTAACGCCGCGAGCACGGCGTCGAAACTCATCTATGGCGAACAACCCAAGGATGCCGAGGCCAGGACCGATCTTGAGACTAAGACTGCAAATAACGAGACAGGCGGCAAGGAGCCTTTGTCTGGTGAACAGGGCAAGGGCACTGCAGCTGAGCCGTACGATCAGGGCAACGTCGGTAAGCTCAGACACCTGCTGGCTAGCAAGATGAATGAGGCTGATGGAGAAACCCAGCAACACCACTAGCCACTTCTGATGACAAGTCGACCTTTCTGGATTACAAGAACAATGGAGATGCTCCCAAGGAATCTTCCTCGGGTGAACAAAGTAAGGGAACCGTGTCCAATCCCTTTGATCGGGGCGATGGCAAATAAAGATGAGACTGCTGACAGATGACGAAGACAAGCCAAGCCAGACAGCGTCAACCTCGAATGACGACTTCCTCAAGCTGAATCCTGTCCTTGATGGACCTCAGCCTGACTCAAAAACTCAGTCATCAGGCGACCCCAAAATCTACACCAGTCGTGACGATGCTACCTATTCCGGCATGCCGATTGTTCCCCTGAATCCCGATTCTGCGACCTCGGGTACAAATGCGTCCACATCCACTCCATCTGCCATCGGAACTTCGACAAGCACAGATAAGGCTGGTGTCACAGACAAGTTATGGAAGGACACCCCGCTCGACGACATAAGTCGTGCAGGTGCACCTGGTGCTGGTCCTACGGCTCCGGCGCATGTTACTCCTGCAGTTCCAGACTCCACCACTTCCAGTGCCGGCTCTAGCGTCGCGAAACCAGACACTGCCGTCAAGACTGCAGCCCCCGACTCTGTCACGGCTGCTTCTAACACATACAGCACCCACCCAAGCCAGAATACTTCGATTTCTGCGGTTGGCGATGTTAAGGACTCCAAGGACACGACCGAGAACACACCAGCCAAGACAACACCTACGCGTGACGGAACTCCATCATGGACTGATACCGGCGTTCCTGCCAAAGTTGAACCCTCGACGTCTACTGATGCTGGGGCGTGCAAGAGTACGTGGATGCAGAAGACCGGACGGGTCCTGAGTAATGCTGACGGCGTTGCAGGTATTGCGGAGGATAGCCATGGCCGAAAATCTGAGGCTGACAAGTCATCTGGATTGACCAGTTCCCCAAGCAACGAAGAGAAGAGTGGCAAGATGTCGCACTTGAAGGAGAAGTTGAAGGACAAGCTTCATATTGGTTCGAAGGACAAATAGAGGATTGCTAGTCCTGCATTGCACTGATGCTTCTTTCTTGTAGGAGGGGATGAACAATGATACCACGGCATAACGCCATTTGAGCGAGGCAACATTTGCAATCCTGAACCAAGTGATATAATGCAGTTGTTGGTTTACAGTTTCCAAACTTGATTAGTGACCAATGAACGTCCTGACTCAAGATGTGGTGACCCATTCGGTTAGTCTATTCTCGCAGACCGATGCACGATCGCCTCATCTTATCACTTGGACCACGTGCCATAGCCCTGCAATCCTACCGACTATCTATCTATATAACTGTTATCAAAGATATAAGACGAGTCACACGACTACAGCGCCAATACATGAACCCCACATTTTGCGGGATAGCTGTGAAGCATCAAGGTCAGTCTTTTCTCTTGTACTGCACTTTCACTGCTCGACGACTACTTCCCATCGATCTGGTATGGCCATTTTCTAGAGGCATGCTGCGACTCTACTTTCCTCATCAGGAACTCAGACTTTTTTGATATCATGGCTATCCACATCCTATGTCTCGCTTCGCGACTTTGACGTTACGTGGCCTGAGCTAAAGGGAGCATATGTCGCCTCACTTGCTTGGACATGCTCACGGATTATTGGAGCATGAATGGTGCTTGGCTTCACACTTGGTTTAAAATAATCGAGTGGCCTTTCTCAACAAGCTCGTAGGCGGCCACAGTCGAGCCCTCTTCGATGCTCTCAAGCCTCGTTCTTTAGTATCACTCATAGCCACGTCATACCGATTTCGCATTTCAAATTGATCACTCCAGTACTAGCACCTCCTGGTCATCAATACAATGGAAGATACTCTTCGCCCTAACGTGGAGTACAGGACTTTCATCCCGAACAATAGGTCCAGTTTTCTCGCTACTAGCGTAAGCCGGATGCAACGAGACCTATCCTGTTCTCTCCACCAAGTTGGCCCGCTTGAAGTCAAAGAAGACGTAACAGCACCCATGATTCGGCGAGTGGCAGGTAAAGTCCCACACGTGTGCGTAGTTGGCGCTGGTGTAGCCGGCCTTCGGTGTGCAGACGTTCTGCTACAACATGGTTTGAAGGTCACCATACTTGAGGGTCGAGATCGAGTCGGCGGGCGTGTGAGTCTAGAATCCTGCAACCTAAGATAATAGGTCAAGACTAATGGTCTTAAGTTTTGCCAAAGTAATGCTCTAGGTCACTTGGTAGATCTGTAAGTCATTGTCCAGCCCGCAGGTGTGGACGCACAGCTGTATCAAATCAATCACTAATGCAGTGTATCGAAGCGGACCAAATTGGATACATGGTACCGACAATAATCCAATACTGGACCTTGCTCGAGAGACAAATACAAGAGTGATGAATTGGGATGGTCGCCAAGCCGTATTTGATCATCTGGGCAACCTTATGCCTGAACCTGAAGCCGCCGAAAACACGGAGCATGTTTGGACCATTATTGAGCGTGCTATGAAGCTTTCAAACGACGACTCAGCCTCAATACCCGCAGAAAAAAGCTTATACGACTTCTTCAAGGAGCAAGTTGTCGAGATGTTTCCACCAGATGACGAGGGCGAAGGAAAGGCAAAGAGCAAGCAAAATACCATACTTCAAATGGGGGAGATGTGGGGTGCATTCGTGGGGAGTCCAGTCCAGAGCCAAAGCCTTAAATTCTTCTGGATGGAGGAGTGTATTGATGGAGAGAATTTGTTTGTCGCAGAGACTTACCACAAAGTCCTAGAGAAAATTGCTGAGCCCGCATTGAAGGCAACTGTCAAGTTTGGTCATGTGGTGAAGGAAATTGTTTCCAGCATCACGGATCAAGGGAATGGGACCTCTGTAACAGTGAAGATTGAAGGTCAACAAAGTCAAACTTACGACGAGGTGGTCATAACCGCGCCATTGGGATGGCTGAAGAGAAATTTGCATGTGTTCAAGCCAGAACTACCTGCACGGCTTAAGGCAGGTATCGACTCCATCAGTTACGGACATTTGGATAAGGTTAGTGGTCCAAAGCTCGTTCTTGAACTTATCATTTATAATGAACAGGTTTATATCAACTTCCCTACAGCTTTCTGGAACGACAAATCTTTCCAAGAGACTACAGCAACATCTAGAGTCAAAGACCATAGTGTCCCTAACGGAACTGCGACAGCCGCTCCACACCACCAAAACCAAGACGAGGAATCAGTTTCTGCTACGATCAATCCGAAACATTGGCCAGGCTTCACACATTGGGCTGCACCGTCGTACGCAGAGCATACGAACCCATTACGCTGGAATCAAGAAGCCGTGAATCTTGCCGCTTTGCCTGGCTCTACAGCTCATCCGACTCTGCTATTCTACATCTTCGGACCGACTTCACTACACATTGCCAAGATGCTTGCTTCGAACCCAGAGTCGAAACATCAAGAACTACTCACAGAATTCTTTCACCCATATTTCTCTCGTCTTCCAAATTACTCCGCCAACGACCCTGCGCATCAGCCCAAAGCAGTCTTGGCCACTGCTTGGGCAAATGATGAACTTTCAGGCTATGGCTCATACTGCAACTTCCAAGTCGGCTTGGAGAAGGGCGACGAGGACATCGAGACCATGAGACAGGGTATGCCGGAGAGGGGCGTTTGGCTAGCAGGAGAGCATACAGCACCATTTGTCGCTTTGGGGTGAGTGATTACTGATGTCTGTTCACGATCGACATATTGACTGTTTTCTAGGACTGTGACTGGTGCTTATTGGTCGGGCGAAGGTGTTGCAAAGCGGATCGTCAAGGCGTATGGCATCGATGCTGTTAACGAGAGGAAGGCCTGAGTGATTGTCTGTGACAAGTCCGGTAGCTCAGTGGCTATTTAGACGAGATGATTCGGTGACCAAGTCATCATATATCAACAGCGTATACCTCGGCATGCTGATGTGTTTGTAGTGTTCCATGTGCCACAGCCGGTAAGGTTACAAGGTTCATGCCGCCCTTGCCGGTATCCATGCCAACTTCTCTTGTCAACGTCGGCTAAGCTCGCCACAACCATCGTTTAATTCAGCTGTATGGTTCATCATTACCCTGTCCGTGGTTCCTGGTAATCAGCCTTGTGCGTTGCCGACTATATAACCTGCAGCACGTGGAAGACAACAAAATTAATTGTGATATCATTCATGAACACCTCATGACTAACCAGCTTGGGCTTTTCCTGCCATTGGTTTCCATCAAAGTATTCGACCAGCGACGGTGTACAATGCAGATCAGGGGATACATCGGATCGCAACTGGCGAATCAAAAGTGTGCACAGCGTTGGACGCCCTGACTTGTTTGATGGAACGCCTGATCTCTCGTAAGGCCGGAGTGGGGATTATGGAATCCCATTGTCGAGTACATAGGGTTGTTGGGTAAAAAATGGTGAGATGTATCATTCTCCTTGACTCTTCCATCAATCGGGCTCTCCGTTGACAATGTTGTTCCCTACCCTCATGCTGGCATTCGCTAGCCTGTCTCATGCCCAAAGTGCCTCCGAGTCACTCACATCTGTTGTAGCATCACTGGAATCACACACACCAAGCTCATCAACACCAACACCAACCATATCATCATCTACAAAACGCCAGACTACCGGTATCCTACTGCCTTTCTACGCACCATACCCCATCTCCGAAGCCACAGATCCCAGAACAAGCGCCTCAGCCCTAACCAGCTCCTCCTCCTTCGACACCGCGAAATACTGGCAACACACCTATCGCGACTACTATGCCTCCATCATCACCGTAATCTCCACCTCGACGATCGTCTACGCCATCGACTGCGCGCCAAACTCCGCCCACCCCTCCTACACAAAAAACGATTTCCAGTCCTTTTCAGTGTGTGGAGCGAGCGTTGTGGGCAGGGGCCCCATGACTGTCACACAGGGCCCTGAACAGTGGCACTATGCAGTTTCGCAGACAGAGCCTAGTTTGAATCTGACGCAGACTCGGTTTAGCCGGCCGACTACGCGCACACAGTTGGATATCACATGTGAGGCGTTGACGGCGAGTTTGAAGTCGTGCTGGAATGCCGAGCCTTTGACGTCGAGCAGTGCAGTTGTGAGTGGGAGTTTGAGTTGGTCGCAGTCACTCTCCAGTTCGATCTCGATGGATGATGGGTCGGAGGAGCAGAGTAGGGGAGAGATTAGCAGTTTGTTGCAGAACTTTTCGACCATGACGGAAGTTCTTGTTACGATGACTGGGGGTGTGGAGAAGATTCCCGGAGAGAGTAGGTTTTGCTGCCTTTGGTGAAGTTGAGGACTGAAATGCTAATCGTAATGCAGTGTTTTCAAGTCTGTCGAGCGTTGCTGAGACTATAACGACTGCGCCTGTCAGTTCGAGTTCGAGTTCGAGTGTTAGTGCTAGTCCGAGTGCAAGTGTAAGCGCTGGTGTCTCCCAGAGTTCGAGCACAGCAGCAGCACCAAGAATCACTGGAGCTGTTGGCATGGAGGTCATGTTTGGTGCTGCAGGTGTATTGGGAGCAGCTGTGTTTGGGTTTTAGACGGGCGTTCTGATAAGCTGTGTAAGGGTTAGCGATACTCTTGACTCTTGAGCAGGATCGAAACTAGCTATAATCCTTACACATATATTAATGTATTTGATGTTAAAAGCTACTACCACTCGTTAAACTCTTCTTCCAACTCCCCTTGCTCTCTTGTAACTCAGAGTTGTCTGCCCGTCTGACCCTGAGTTCAGTTTTCGGCACAACAAGTGCACCTCCACTCTCACGTACACGCTTCCTCAACTCATCTTCCTCTAGACTTTCCGCTTCTACACCCAGCTCTTCTCGGACAGCTGCTGAGTAGTCCATAATGGAGCGTATAAGACCCGGTCTCCGGCCACTCTTGTACATTCTCGATGCACGTCTCGTGTCGAGCCACATACCCACCATGATACACGTCCATATGAAGTTGAAGATTGAAACCATGAAGAGAAAGATGTACGAGAAGCCCCATTGATACTCTTCGCTGGGTTTACAGGATCCTTTTTCACGTAGATAGGTGGAGTTGTAGAGAGTGTTGCCTGCTCTTTCGAACGCGAATGCGAATCGATCAGCTCGGACTTCTGAGGAAGGCAACTCCACGTCATACGGCTCTTCCCCTGGAGAATGGTTCTGCAAAAAATTTGAATCGTACTCTGTTATATTGAGGCTTGGAGCAGGCAATTTCACAGACTGCCCATCGCCAGAGGCATCGAATTCTGATGTCTCGTTTGCAACAAAGAAGTTACCAATGCCTGGTCCATCATCGGCATGGTATTGGACGCCATCATCTTTGAACTGGGAAATATCTTGAACTTGTCAGCCAGAATATTCAAATTCTTTAATAGTGAACCTACAAGCGTCCACTGCCTTCATCAACACCTCATCGTCCGATGTGACTACAAGTGGCGACCTATCATAATCCACGAGCCTCGTACTATCATGCACCACGTAAACGACCTCCTTAATCTTACTCCACTCGATAAGATTATGCTCGTAGTCCTCGACATACGGCTCATACGTCGTAATGTAACCCGTCATAGCCGCCATCAGCGTTGGAAAACTCAACGCGTACGCTGTCGAAAGAAGCATACTCAGCATGGCCAACCACCTAAAAAACCGCCTCCAAGTCCCCTTTCCAAAGTTCAAGACCTCTTTTCCAAGCACACCAAGTGTACCCAACGTCGTCGTCTCGAACGCCACAGCCGCATACATTTTGTAGCTGGTCAGATGCATCTCCATGCACTACGGTACAAAACCGGTTTACAGTAGCCATATTTATCTAAAGTAGACCACGAAGTAGTTTAAGTACAAGAAGTAAACCTAAATAAGGTTTACTATACTATATATTCTATAAAGGTAAACTACTTTTTAGTTTATATATTATTAGTATTATATATATTAACTTTAGTATCTATTTAAACATAGTTTATATAATATACCTAATTATAGGTTATATAGTAGATAGATATATAGCACCTAGGGGGAAAATTTAGTGTAGATAGAGGGCACGTAGTAGGTATAATTTAGTAGGGTTACTATATAGGAAGTAGTACTAGTAGATACCTAGGTAGTATAGGCGTGTAGTATACCGCTACCTAGGTACGCTATAATAATAACTAAGAGACTAGGTAGTATACCTAGTATATAAAATTACAATCTAAAATATCCTATAATAATAGGTTAGTAAGTTCTATAAAGGCGCCTATTATAACAACACTCCTATATTATAGTGTAGTAGTATTACTAAAGATTATACTCTATATTATAAATATTCTAGGGCAAGTTAGTTGCTTATACTATATATATTATAGGTTTCTTTAGTAGTATATTAGTTTAAAGTTAGGTATATATATATATTATTATATATACTATATTATATATAGTAGTAAAGGAGTAGTATAATATAGTAAGCTTGTGTAGTATAGGATATATAGTAATATTATATTATATTATTTATATATACTAATATTATATATATATATTATTTAACTTATATAGTTAGGACCCTCTTATATTATAATTATCTATAAACCTAGACGCTATTATTACTATTACTATTATTTAGCTCTCCTATACTACTACTATCTATATAAGGGGTATCTATAATAGATACTCTAGTTTATATTAGAGACTGCCGTGATTTTAGGCCTTGCACTTTAGAAGTATTTCTCTTATTACTATTACCTTTAGCCTTAGCTTTAGTTATATAGTTGCGCCTAGCCTTTATATTCCTAATATATATATTCTTACAAGTCTATATTAGTAGAGTAGAATCTAAAGTCTTTATTAGAGAG